ATTTCTATAAGTTCTATCTTATTACAGGTTCTGGGTAATCTTTATTTATGCTCTAGTAAGCATTTTTGTCTGCAGATCTATACATTTATAACTTTTCGTTATTATCGAAGATTATGCAAATTTATACTTAAACAATTTAAACTTATTAAGAAATGTAAACTTATATTATGAAATTGAAAAAAAAATCTACACAGTTTTATTCTATGCATGTAGACTTATTTTATAAACACGAATTTCATCTATTATTATAAATTCATTACACATACATTTATAACGATAAAAATATCTTGCAGAAAGATATTGGTTCTAATTAGGTTTGTCGCAGAAAGTCAGAAAAAATTCTGCCACAGGGCCTTCATAATTTCATGTTTCTAAGTCATAGAGCAGCAAAGCGAAATGTAACTTTTAAAAAAGAAACAATTTAGAAAAAAAAATTCGCAAAAAAAAAAAAAATTTCATTTAAAATTCTAAACAACATAGATTCAGAATTTCAAGAAAAAAAAACTCTGTTAAACATATAATGGTTCTTCTAACATACCAAATCTTTACTCTGTGCTTATGATGTTCTTAAAATGAGTTTCTGTTTTTTTCCTCGTTCAAAAAATATGTGTAATAATAGAAAGGCTCTACATTATAGTCCCATCACAATCAATATATTTAACAATCAAGCAATATTATAAAATTTTTAATAATATAATGTTAATGTTCAGCAATAAAAAATACGACGGTTTACTTGAGTTGTATAGAAATAGAATTGAACTTAAAAGGGCCCCATCATTTTCAGTAGCTTAAGGCCCCGCCAAGCTTAAATCCGGCCCTGATATGGCCAGTGACTTAATAATTATATTGTTCAGCCGTTGATGAATAATTTCACAATAACTTGTTAAAAGAAATATTTTCTTATTTGTTGCTCTGTAACGCATGCGCTCTGAAACTCTTGCTAGCTGGAATTATTTTGTCTGCTTGTCAGTTGGATTAGTGATTTCATATAACGTGTTTACCTTAGAATTCAACAGCCTAATTCTCCACGGTTTTATTTTATTTTTTATTACTTTAGCTTTTATGCGAGTTTCAGGGCGCATAGTTCCTTTTCCCAGCTATTTTGGAAGTTCGAGTATGTTATAGGTCTGCTTTCATTTTAAAGATTATAATAAATAGTTTATTTTGGCAATTTAGTTTTATTTCCTTATTTGATGGCTCATGTCAGTCTTACCCCACATATATTCATAAGTGTATTTTATTCAATTTCATTGTTAGGGACTTCAATTAAACCCTAATTTTGTGGCATTTTAATTTTTAACAACCTCCCTTCAAGCTGAGATCAGTGAGCAGAATAGTTTTGTTTTTAAAAAACAAAAAGCAGCACCACTGCTGTATAAATAGCCGCTTTCTTCTACCAGTACCAGAAATGAATTCTCGCAGTCAATCAGTGATGGCCATTAACAAGGAGTGGTGGCAGTCTTGAGAACAGCATCTTGAGAACACACCACTCAGAAATAAATATTTACCCAGCATAAATGATACATGACTTAAATTATATTTTAAAACAAAACGTTGAAATAACCTACACTTGTCTGTATACAAAAGTATGCAATGATTTGCAATCATTCCTTATTTGAAACCTAAGGATAAGTATATTGACTTATTAACATATGGTTACTTTAAACTCGTGTGAATTATGTATGAAAAAATCTATAAGGTCATAGTTTATTTTTTCAAAAATTTAAGGTTCACTTCTTGCATTGATATAATTCTCAACAAACTGAAATTTATTTAAATTTCACTATAAAGTCGGAATAAACTTAAAGAGAATGCTAGAAAATTTAACTTTGTAAAAACCTTAAAAAGATAGTTTAACGATTAAAATTCATAAATATATATTAAATTAAAAAGAAAATTTTCAATATTAATTGATAATAAAACTTAAAATAAAATAAAACCTTGGCTAAATTCTAAAATGTCAGACTTCATCTTGTCGCAGTGCTTGAATACTTCACCCAAAGTTGATTCAACTTCCAGTAACTGCTGAATTTCAGAAGAAATGGTAGGTAGTCTTTCCTCCATATCCCGAAGAAATTTTATTTAATAAAATAATGAAAAACTGCAAAGGAATTCTCTTTCTCTAACATAAAAAACCAATCTTTTTGTGGCTTAAAATACGGCACTACAAAAGACATTTGAGTTTGCGATCCGCGCAGAAGAGCAGGGTCAGTTGTTTACATTTATTCCGTATAAAATGTTTCACCCGTTTCAATCAGAAGCGTAAGAAACAAAGAAGGCAAAAACTTTACGAACTAAAATATTTTACTTCTGACTTTAAAACCTGTACTGCAATCAATCTATCAATTTTGTTTTTGTAGCTGGTTTCATTTATTTATTTATCCGTAAGTTGTTTTACGAATACGAAGTCCCAATTAAGTACTATATATTTTATATGTTTATTTTTATTTGAACGAATTAAAAGACTTATACTAAACCATTTCTCTGTCTGATAAATATTTCGTTACTTTTGTAATATTTTACTCTTTATTTTGTTACTATTGTTACTGTAAATAGCAACAAAAAATTATAACAATAATCAATTCTGTGGTTTAACCTTCTTAGATTTTCTTATATGAGATTTAAAAAAAAAAAGAATTTATACTTTGAATCTTATTATTAGATATCTATATAAATGTAATACTAGTACTACTCAAATTTGGTTATTTTACATTTTTTATAGTAACAGTTTTGATACAATATTTTGAACAAATAAAATTTGATTTTGGCATGATGCTATCTTGTCATATTGTGTTTTTCATTTATGTATGTATATAATATACATCGGCTAATCAAAAAATGTGTTTGGACAGCACACTATTTTTAATTATTTATTTTTTGACAGCTCAGTCTTTCAGCTGTGAGGTTCAGTTCAATCCTTAATTGCAAGGGTCTTTCATTTTTATTTTACCTTTTAATTAAAAGTTTCCCTAATAAATCAATTAAAAAATTTTACCATCAGGGTTGCCACTCCACAGGGAGAACAGGGAAAACCTGGAAGATACAGGGAATTTAAAAATCACCTAAAATAATAGGAAAAATAGACGGAATTTGTAGTTTTTCTTTGCAAACTGGGAAAATACTGGGAATTTTGTGTCTTAATTTCGTCTTTGAAAAAATGGTGACCACTCAAAGCACAATATATGGCATATTTAAGGATGATATTTCAGTTATGCTAAACTATTTAATTTACTCTAACATTATTTGTTTTAAATATGTTCATATGCAGGTGCTAGTATAGTACAATATAGCTTACACAAAAGTGCAGTGATATTGTGTTTCCTCTTAATATATTGTGTATAATATATACAGGACAATTTCAAGTCTACATATTTTAACATACTTATTTTTAATTCTTTGTATCGAGATACAAATGTCTCATGATATATTTTCTTTTAAGAAATAATTATATATTCTTACGAGACTTTATATCTATTTAACTTTGGAATTTCGAAGTTTTTTTTAAAATCTTGCATTATAAGGACTTTGCAGGGATTATTATTATCACATGGGATAAAGCTAAAATAAATAAAAATAATACATAATTAAAGTGAATCACTATGAGACTTCTGTTAGTTAATATATATATATATATTTTAAAATTTATTATTGCTAGTATTTTATTATTTTAAGCTTAATTACATTTCCAAGACTAAAATGGCATAAAAAATGTCATTTTTTTTTATTTCTTAAACTATATATTTTTATAAAGCACTAACAATGCTACGCTTTTTGTTCCTTTAAGTTCTACAAAAAAAGAGATGTGACGCTCCACCTTTCACAGCTGTCAAAAACCATGACTTCAAATTTTTATCTCAATATTTGTATTATTTTATCTCAATATTGAGATTATTTCCCAAATCCGTACCGGTTTGCATCGAGTGAAACTACTGAGGTCCAAAGTGCTAATTCCCTACTCTTGGATTTTGAATATATTTTTAAAAAATAGTATGGTGGCTTGCCTGTGTAAGGGTAGCTATGAGTTTTACTCCATTGTTGAAGGGCAAAACTGGGATTTTTATTTAACAAGTCACTGTGTGGTTATTACCGAAACTAAGCAAGCAGAGATATTATTACTGAAATATTTCCCTAAGTTTGAAGTTCCTTTATGATGAAAAACTGTTTGCTCTAATAACTTCATCACTAAAGACTGATATTAGGCAGAGTTCTCCCTAGGAATAAAAAGGGCAGGGCACTTCCTCACAGAAAAGAGCACTTTGAATTTTGAAAGGGCACTCACTTATCGCAAAAATTATCAAAAATTTATCAGTTATGTAATAACTGAATTTGATCCTCAACAATTTTTACTACCTTCTTATACTATTTTATATACATATTTCAAAAAGTAATTCCCACTCATTAACTAAACAAAAGAAAAATTTGTAGTTAATAAAAAAATAATGAAAAACATGCTGAAAGACATTCTTTGAGCATATTTTTTTTTTTTTTTAAAGTAAACTTAAAAAAAAATTTTAATTTATAAATAACTTGAAAGCTTTTTTTTGTAATTTCAAATTATGAAAAAATAAACATTTAAAGGTGCATTTTTTTTTATTAAAAAAATGGAAAAAAATTTGAAATCTCTTAAAAAATTTATCTCTAATAAAATATTTTTATGTATAAAAAATAAATTTATAAATAATCCTTACAAAGTAAATATTTGTAGTAATAGTAATCAGGATTAAACCTATAAACACAGATAAATATTTAAAAGTGAGTTATTATTTTTTTTTAATGGAATATGAGTAAAAAGACAGTGTTTTTAAGGGATATCGGGTTATTTCTGCAAAGAGGGCATAGCTATAGGGATCGAAGGGCAGACAGGGTGGGTCATCATTCTGAAAACGTTTAGGGAGAACACTGATTATAGCTTATTCTCAGAACCTTACATTTCTAAGGGCCCCCGTGCAAGTTATATCCAAAAATATGTATTTTTTTAATGGTTATGAAAAATTTAATTTTTTAATGGTCATAAAAACATTAATATTGAAATATTTAAAACTTTATTATCGATTTCAATCATATTGATAGATTACTATAAAAAGTAGTCTTCATATTTTTATTCCTAGAAATCAAAACCATTAAGTTAGAGTATAGATATATTTAAATATTTTTAGATTGTTATTTAAGCAGGGCAATTGTTAGCAAGTATAATTGCTTCTTGTTGTGTTACACATTCTGTATTCTTTAGTTTTTTTTAATTTTTTTTCAAGTACAGTTGATTTTGGTATGATTAACATATTAATAAAATGTACTTATATAAAACTATAGTAATTCTTCATTTTATAAAGAAAAAGAATTTTCTATCAACTCTTGAGGGGGGTGGGGAAACAATAGTAATTAAGAAGCAGCCACAGTTCTTGTGAGTACAAACAGGAGCAGAGCCTCCTAGTAAAATAAATTTTTTCTATCAAATAATGTATTATCAAATGTACTATCAAATAATTATTTTAGAATATCTTTTTAACCATAATGTTCAAAACTTCATCCTTCCGTTTTATTTTTTGTTTTTATTTTATATTATGTTGTAAATGCCATTTTTTCTTTTTTGAAACAATAACAGTTATTTTCCAGCATCACTAATATTTTCTTTCTTTTTATAGAATTGAAAGTTTGTTTGACTCATCTAACAATGAATTGGATGATTAGAAAATCATATCCATCGATCAAGCTTTTTAAAGCAGAAATATTGTCAATTAATTCTTCACTAACATATTCTAAAGTAAGAAATAATCCCTTTATTTAAACTCTGAAGCAATGTAAATTTTTTTGTTTATTAAAGTTCAGACTTTATGCTGCTTGTTAGTCTGTAGTGTTAATTAAAAAATCTTTATATCTACTTGAATGTTAAATTTTCAAAAATCTCATATTTTAAATGAATAAAGCAGTAAGAGATTCAAGCATGCAAACAAAACAGGAAGAAAAAAACATTTTCCCAAAGTCATTACTGTTATAGTGCGGCTTTGAGGAGAACTCCTCCAGACTGAAAGTCTGGGGCTGTCTGCTGCTATGGTTACAAGCGAGAGCACATTTCTAATGGGGGGGAAATGGAGGAAAGAAGGTGTCGATTGGTTTATTTCTGATGACCTACGCTAACGTTATTTACCCCACACCCCTATTCGAAATTACCTTTCCTCGTAACCATAGTACCCGCCACCTCATAAGCAGAATACTTTCAAATGTTCTGCAACAGGATTTATTAATTTATACAAATGTTCTGCAACATTTCATAGCGAAAAAAAGTAAACTTTACCTTAAAATACTATATTTTCATTTTTTAAAATACAGGATCATACGCAGATACACTAGATTATTTTTTAAACCATGGCAAACATTCTTGATTTGTTACTTTTTCAATCACTTTTGAAGTACAAAATTTTGTTTCTGACGATGATGTTGAATTATTAATAAAATGCCTATGATATGAAGGTCCAAACATTAAAATAAGGCTGCCTTAAAAATCTTTCCAAGAGACAAGTGCCCAGATGATGCACCATTTTCAAACGCAAACATTAGCTGGTCTGTTGTTCCAACAACTTCTTCATCTCCATCGAAAGCATTTGGTCTTTAAGAAACGCTGTCACTTATTCAAGATACAAATTGTTCTGCAGGACTTTGTTCTGCAACGTACGTCACAGTTTTAGGCACTTTCTGCTTCTGGGTCCGCCACGATGTGAGACGGATGTCTGGAGGAGTTCTTCTAAAAGCCGTACTATACTAGTATTTTTCTGATGATATAGATATTGTATCTATAACTAAGAAAGATTTGATTGAAGCATTCATAGCCCTTGAAACTGCAGCTTAATATCTTGACTTAATTGTCAATGAAGGAAATTTTAAAGTCATAGCAGTAACAAGTAAAACACCAGATTCATCACCACTGTAAATAAAACAGTATTATTTTACAAAATTTTATCAGTTTAAATACTTGTGGAACAATTGTACATAATAATAATGACAAAACAGAAATTAATGACTGAATAATAAATATGGCTAATAGATGCTATTTTAAATTAAGAAGGCAGTTCAAATTAAAATACGTGAGTAGGGAAACAAAAATATAATTAGTATATAAGACAATAGTAAGACCAATAGTTTTATATGGAAGTGAGTGCTGGGAAATGAATAAATAAGAATAAAATATATTACTTATATTTGATTGAAAGATCTTAAGAAATATTTTTAGTGCAGTAAAGGAGAATGATGTGTGGAAAATAAAATACAACTTTGAGTTATACAACATATACAGAGGAAAATATAAAGAGTTATATATATTTATCTATATATATGACAATGAGAGCTCAGAATTAAAGTTGACTTTTCACAACCCAGTAGGAAAGAGAAAGATGAACATATCGTGTAAAAGATGGTTTGTTAATGTAGAAAAGTGCCTGTGCAGTGTAGGATGTAAGTGCAGGGGGAGAATTATGATGGAACTAGAAGGAGAAGAAAATAATACAGGGGTGTCACTCTTCAGTCCTGAGGACTGAAAATCAGTCTTGAGAAAAGATCTGTGGGAGATTTCGTCAAGTTTCGGTCTTTTATTTCACCTAACAAAATGTTTAGCAAACAAATAATTTCTCAACTGGAGGTGGACATACAATATGCAGCAGACACTCAGAAGAAAAAATGCTGGGTGGGAAAATTAACTATGCATCATGTGACATATTGGAGGAGATTTCATTTAGAAAGCCTAGGAGTGATACTGGATTAAGAGAAAATAAATATTAAACAAAAAATATTTTTACTGTAACTGATAGTGTTACTTTTTCCAAAGTATGCTATTCCTTCCCCCCTAGCTTTGCAGGGGTGTAATTTATGCAACTGATGCACATAAAATAAAGATCTCAAAAGCATGCCAACAGTAGTTCCTTAACAGCAACAAGTGTGATGCAACCTGCATTAACTGTTGATTGGACAAAATAAAATTGCTGTACTTCTCAGTATACATTTCAGTTCTCCAATGCTTTGTAATTGTTTCTGTTCAGTGTTTGAATAATTTATTTCAATTCTTTTGCTGATTTATAGTATTATTTTTATTTCCAGAAGTTAAATTAATTTTTTCACTCACTTTCAGATACTTTCTTGCAAATATAGCAGTCGTCGCAAACCAGACGTTTCTGACATACCTGAACTGAATGAACCGCCATTGAAAAAATTTTATGAAGCTTATTATCAAGCTGAGAAAGGTAGAGTCCATGATAAAAAACCTTGGAAAATTAAATGTGAAAAAGGAAAGCTATATTACTGGTGTGCTTGTGGATGGAGTCATGATCAAGTAACAATTATATTTATTAAATAACTTTTTTTTATAAACACCAACTATATTTTTAAAATAATATTCTCAACTATTTTTTAATTTTCTTTTGGACTTATAAAACATAGAGTTTTAATAAAGTGCTTAAAGGTGCTTATTTCATTGGGCGTTTTTAAAAAGTGCTTAATTTTCTGTTTTTCAAAATAAGATTTTTCCTTTACTTTGTTGATTTTCGCTTTGAATTATGCAAAAAGACACAGTCCACATTCAACGTTTTCATAATTAATTCAACCCCAATCTATTTCGGCGTATAGTCAGTCCGTAGCTTATGAAAACACCATTTGTTTTACATGATTCAAAATTTCATGATTTTTGACAATTGTCAAAAACAATGCAAAAAGGTTTTTTTTTTTTTGACATGGCGGTTAAAACAAGATATATAAAACCGTCGATTGTCAAAAACTTTCCAACCCTGGCTAATTATGATATCTTTTTTAAGTGCTTAAAAATATTTTTTGAGTGCTTGAAAAGTGCTTATTTTTTGCTGAATAATTTGACTATGCACCCTGTAAAAGACTGATTTGTTACTGCTTTATTGTTAATGTTATATAACATTTTCTTATCATTCAGATGAGAGGGTTTTGCAATTACAGTAGAGTCTCGATTGTTTGAGTTCCTAATAAATCCGAGCTAATGAGACAAAAAATTACTCTTGCTTTCGCATTGATTACAAACAATGACTAACACCCACATAACACGTGGAACGATTACCACGATTGGTTTAATGTTGGAAAAAAAAAATTTTGTTAAACACTGAAACATGTGAACAGTGTGTTTAAACAAATTTTAAAGACAATTATTTTAAAGTATAATTAACCTGATGCAATAATATAATGAATATTGTAAGTTGGTGTAATGCAATAAATGTACCCTGATTCTCTAATGTACTAATTTTTCTTTAAAAATAATATATAATATCTATTAAGTGCTGAAATTTAAAAATGGCTTTATTTCTAATAATAAATGTAATAATTTAAATATTAATTAAATGTAATAACTTAAATATTTATGAAATTTAAAGTTTTCGATAATTCGAGTTTTGGAAAGTTTGAGGTAGGGTCGGTCCCGTCCACCTAGAATTATCAAGACTCTACTGTATATTGTTTCAAATCAACAGAAAACAAGGGAGTTTGTCTTCTGATAACAAAGTTAATTTGCATATGAAATAAAATCTTTTATTTAAAATATTCATTATTTTTTGGAATATACGTAGCAATTATTATTGTTTCAGTCATTTTAAAAAGTGTATTTTAACTTAAGTAAAATCTTGATTATTCTAGATTAAAAGTTCCTTAAAGGTGTTCCATGGAACTCTAGGGTTCCACACTCTCTTTGCAAGCTTTATTAAAGGTTCTGCCAATTCTCTTCACATTAAATATTTTATATCTATATATTTTGTACAGATAATACAACATGCTTTCTTATCATATGTAGCAGATCTGTTTTTTTTTTAATTAAACTGCACTAATATAAATGAGGAAAAAAAATACAATAGAAACTACAATTTTTAGATTTCTTTAGCAAAACCAAAATAATCAACTAACAAAAGGTTTGTTTCTTACAAAAATAAAAATGATCAATTCTACGTAAGCATGCAGTACACCAGTGTTTTTTATTTTGAAGGTCTCACATATAGCTGAATTAAAGTAATTGGATAATTTTATTGAAATTAATAAAATTATCCAAAAAGTGATACAGTTATCCACGGATAATTTAAATCGATAATGGGAAATTTTTAATACACATGTTTAGCATTTATATATCTACATTCATTAAAAAAAAATCTTAATACTTAATGTAGAGTTTTATCGAGGAAAGAAAGGCTAAATTTTAAATATTATAAAGGAACAATTCAAAAATCAAAACACATATTTTTAAAATCTAGATATTTTTTCTAAGTGTCACTCTTTTAAATGGTTCCATACGCTTTTTAAACTATAACTTTTTTCACAAATTACTGTTGAAGTTTAAATTTCATGCAGGGAATTTTTTTTTATATATACTTTTTTGAAAAAATGACATCTAAGTCTTTTGTTAACAATGCTAGAGGTAAAGAGCACTGAAGTCCAAATAATCCTAGAGGCCCCCATTTTCCATAACGCTAGTATTTTACTTTAACTGACACTTTATTGACATTAACATTTTTACCTTGACTAGAAGATAGAGAGAAAATGCCCAATTATTTGAATTTGATTGAATAAATATTGTTACCAAGCATATGTAAAATTTGAGAAAATAAAGAAACGATCTGAATACATACATAAAATTTTGCGTAGTTACAATGCAGAAATATTAAGTTTAATAATTCCTAGTTGTTGATTAAAAACTTTTAACCTTTGCTTTTTTTAAGTATTTCATTTAATGATAAGCTGAAATACAAAATGAATAAATTCATTCCTAATAATCTTATGATCTTTTATTCAATTAATTAATTTCTTATTTTTAATTTTTGAAATAACTAAAAAGTATTTAAAAGAATCGAACAGACTTTTTTTTATTCAGTTTTGAATTATTATTTATTAATAGTATAATAGTTATAATGTAATATGCAATATCTGTGATAAATTCTAATACACCACAAAAAAATCTGAGCTTTGATGGCTCAGTGATTTAGACACTGAACTGTCATTTTGAAGAACTAGGGTAAGATTCCTAAAGGAGGCTTGAAACCAATATAGCTTCAGATGTCTGGGTAGCAGCTTGGCTGAAAAGTAAAGGCGTCTGGTGAGCAATGCCTACTACATTTGGCCGTTGGTCACAAAATTGTAGAACACAAGCCTCCATGATCCACAATAGGCTGTTGTAGTTATGCTTTACTTTTTACAAAAATATCTAAGTATTAATTTATAATTTCTAAATGACAGTAATTTATTCATTTTTGTTTAATGTTAGTTTTTATGTCTTTAAAATATTAGAATTAAAAATTAATAATTTTATGTTGATAGCCTCTCTGTGATGGAAGATGTGTACTTCCAGAAATGAAGCTAAAAATGAAACCAGTCTTATTTAAACCAGCAATAACAAGAGAGTATTGGCTTTGCAACTGTAAACAAACTAAAAATCGACCATTTTGTGATGGTTCACATAACTCAGATTTTGTAAAAGCTTCTCACTCTGTAATACGAAGAAAAGAATAATGGTGTAAACAAATTTGTAGTTATAAAATAAATGTTATATTTAATTTAAAAACTCAACTTTGGAAATGTATATTGTGTTCAATTTGTTGTTTTGAATAAAAAGAATTTTTGTTCTTTTAGTTTAAGTCAGAATTTTTTCCTTAAAGGTACAAAAAAAAAACTAAATAAAGCCAATGAATTTACTAAAAATGGCTTAAAATTTTTTAACAATTATTTTATTTTACTTTTTTAACAATGCAATGCACATTATAATATTTAGAGAATGTCGGTACCATTAAAATTTGACTCAGATCACCTTAAAATAAACAATCAGTGTTCTTCAAACCAACAATCAACATTAAGAGATGGTATGTTATGGATTTTTTTAATTTTGGGTTTTGCGTTACCATTGATATTTTGTCACAAAATAGCATATTTTTAATCATAATTGTGATCATTACAGACTGTTTGAAGTTTTTCATTTAGATTCACTTTGTTAACTTATTTTTTAATCTAATATAGACATGTGAACTGACTAGGTAAAATGTTTACAGTCTAGCTTTATTTTTTTGTTACTGGTCGTTTGAATCGGTGACTAAATTTTCTTAATTTATTATATATATATATATTTTTTATATATCTGTGTTGGTGAACACCTCTATAGAGTGACTCCCTTGACAATTCAGGTTTTAAACACCTGTGGGGAAAATAATGATTTTTTTTATTAATCTTCTTCACTGGCACTTCTAATTTAACTAAGAATGTTTTAATACCAAAATAAAAATCTATCCATTTATAATATTTGCACAAATTATAATAAAATAAGTTTTTTAATTTAATGATAGTTTTTACTTTAAGTGATTTTGGTGTTGTTGAAATGATCTTTTAAAGAATATTCAGATTATCATCAAAACCACTGGAGATTTAATAATTATTAGATAGAAAAAAAAATTGTTTGAAAAGCTAAGGACAGTTGATAGATAGAATCAGGGCTCGAAAAACCAGCCATCCGCCCGTCCTCGGCGGTCTAAAATTCCCCGCGAACAACGAATTTCTCCAATCTGACGTCCGTGGGGACGGCCATTTTCCCGTTAATGTTGGTGATACATTTTCAATTTTTGTTATCTTACGAGAGTCTAGCGCCTCACTTCTAAAATGACCCTCTAATCTAGAAATATAGCAACATACTGCGCATGGTGGAATTGATGTTTTCTCTGTCTCCCATACTGCAGTGGTTGAAAGGGACTTATCAGCAATGAACTTACAAAAAAAAAAAAAACACTACGCACTGGTCTTAAACAAGAAGCGTTAAACGCAATTATGAACATATACCTAAATAGAAAACCCCTTTCAGAGTTTTGTGCAGAAACCTCTGTAAATCATTAGCTTGATAGTGGAACTTGCAAACATCATATTTGATTCATTTAAAAAACGCAGTACCCTCGGATAAATTGACATTCCAGATAACTTGACATTTGCCATTTAAATTATTTCATAAAAGAAATACTGGATTCCTATTAGTATTCCTTTTATTACTGTATAATGCAATCCTAGTATTTGTAATCCTAGTAACTACTAATTCATTCTGGAATTTATATAAATGTTTGAAATAAATAAGAGAAAATTATATTTTTATTTATTTAGAAGCGACGGGTTAGTTTCAAAGGAGGACGGGTATATTGTTGGACAAGCCGTTCTCGGGGACGGGTAAAAATTTTGAGTTTTTTCGAGCCCTGGATAGAATTGTGATTCAAAATATATCGGGTGATTTGTTAATTATCTCAACTATTTACATATTTGCAGACACAGAGTTCATTTGAATTCAATTTATAATTGCAAGAAAAAACTAGATTTAAAATCTTCTAAAAATTCTCCTTTCTACATTTTTAACAAATATTAAAATAATGAGAGAGAAAAATAAGAGAAATGATAAAAATATCTCAATGATAAAAATCACACATTTACTTATATTTTTTTTTAAATTTGCGCTATTGCAGATAGAACTTTTCTTATTGTTTGTATAATTTTTGATTAATTAAAGTATACACTTGGGCTTATGGGTCTAAATAATCTGATTTTATTAATTGTGTGATAATTAATAAATTATTTTGTATAAATTTAGGTCAAAATAAGTGAAAAATATTATATTTAGCATTTTAATAATTTATGGTTATGATATACAGTAGGAAAAACAGGACTCTTTTTCTGTGTTAAAGGTAAGATCTTCCAAGCACGGCTCATTTCCAAACAATTTTTCAAATTTTTAGTTATTTAGATCTAAAAGAAACAGTTATTTATCATTGAAATTCTTTTAATTTACAAAATCCATTATTGTTAAATTTTTGAATATAAATGAAAAATATTTTTTCTTTTTGGATTTTATATTTTAGAACAAATATAATTCTGATAATCAAGATTTTTTTAGTAACTATTAGTTTTTTTATAATTAAGAAATACAAAAAGATATTTTTGCTTGTAATTAGAGCATCAGAAAAAAATATATAAAAGGGACACCAGTGTCCCATCTGCGTCAGGGTTAAAGTAGCAAGCAGCTAAAAATTTTGAATTTTGACACAATTGAGTGGAATGCCACATTTATTTATACCATTACATACTTTGATTAGCAAGACTGCCCAAAGGAGGAACAGAACCGCATGATGTTGAGTTAACTATTATTATGAAAAATTTATTCCATCACCCTCGAAGATTTTTTTTTCAATTCCATATTTTCATTACAAAGAGAAAAAAAAAATGAAGGAAAATTCTGATAATCTGTAAGGGGATTACCCATTGATTGCTAGAACATTTTCCATAGTTAACGTTTTTTTAAAGTATTTTTTTTTTTTCAAATTTAAGTATATCTTATTTGCCTTTCAATTTTCCTTTGCAATATCTTTTATTTTTTTCTAAGTGCTTGAATTTTTAAGACTTCTTTATCAAAAAAGAGCATCATTAAAAAAAATAATTAAAATTCAAATAACCTCTCACAGACTTTCAGTTAATAGGATTGTTCCAAATCACAAGTAATAAAGAAATTCCTATTTTATGCAATTCATGTTTTTTTCCAAAAAATTTTCAAATTATTTTTTTTTTTTTTGGATTTTATATTTTAGTACAAATATAATTCCGATAATCAAGAAGATTTTTTTAATAACTATTATACAGTTTTATTATAGGTAAGAAATACAAAAATTTATTTTTGCTTGTAATTAGAGCATCAGAAAAAAATATATAAAAGGGACACCAGGACCAGTGTCCCATATCTGCGTCAGGGTTAAAGTAGCAAGCAGCTAAAAATTTTGAATTTTGACACACTCATTGGTTGCTAAAACATTTTCCAAAGTAAATGTTTTTTTAAAGTATTTTTTTAAAAATTTAAGTAGATCTTATTTGCCTTTCAATTTTCCTTTGCAATATCTTTTATTTTTTTCAGAGTGCTTGAATTTATAGGACTTCTTTATCAAAAAAGAGCATTAACTAATTTAAAAAAAAAATTAAACTATCTCTCACAGACTTTCAGTTGATAGAATTGTTCCAGATCACAAGTAATAAAAAAATTACTATTTTATGTAACTCATGATTTTTTTTTCCATCTCGGGTGTCTCTCTTCAAAAATCACAAGATTGAGCACTTAATAAATTTGTTTAATGTAATCTAGCAGCATTTTATTTCTTATTTAATAATTTGAATTGATAAAGGTGTGGTATGAGAAGCGGCAAAAAATAAAACAATTTTACAAATAAAAATTTGTGAATGATTATTTTGGTTTTTCAACTTTATTATTTGTAGAATTGTCAAATGTATTCAATTCTTATGAAATCTTAAGATTTATTTTTCGGTCAAAAATTGAGAGTTTAATACTTCTTAATCAGATCTTAATTTCAAATGCTGCCAAGATTTTTTTTAACGAAATTAGTTAGTGAATTATCAATTATTACTAGTAGTACTTGTACTTTATTTACACTGCATTAGCTGCACAATGAACTATTTGTGACGTTTTGGGAATCATTCTGAGGAAGATCTGAAGACACACCATCACAATTTTCATCCTCTCGCAAAGGGGCTTCACGGTAGATTTTGAGAAAAAGTGGCTTGACATTTCAAAAAATTTATAAAACAAAATTCATTTTTTCAAAAAATTTAGCAATAGGTAAATTGTTATTTTAGGTAGGTATTATAAATTTTATATTTTGTAATATTTTTACAAAATATGTTTATTAGTTAGTGTAATATTTTTATAAAAATTAAACTTATTTAAAGTTTATTAATAAATTTTACGATAATCAATATTTTTCCATCAGTTAAAAATGCAATCAAAGAGACAATTTGCAGTCCTAGCTGATAAAAAATACAGAACATTTTAGTAAAAAATAAAACTTTAGACCCCACAATAATTGAAAATACATCACCTCTGAAGTGTAAATAATATTAGCTGTACAGTTTTATAATTATGAAAATGGGTAAACCTCTCTAATAGAAAGTTACTATAACAATATTTGGGAATATTTCCGTATCAGTACCTACACCAAATAATGGCTAAGATAAAATAAAAGATTTCCTGCACGCATTTTTTTGACTCTTGTAACTAGTTTCAACCCTTTCACTACCACCTAATTCTGTTCAAAAATCAAGTTTAAAAGTGTTTTAATTCGGAAAAAAAAAACTTGATTGATTATTATACATATTAGCATGTATTTCTTTAAATTAAGCAATTTTATGAAGATATAAATATAAAACGAGTTATTAACTTACTTTGTATATATGCAGAGTATCTGCTAAATCTAAACTTTTTAAATCCATGACTTTTACGAAACACTTTCCATGACTTACAAGGGTAAATGCATTATTACTCAATAAAGTCAGAAGAAGATCTAAATGAGTATAACTTTCTTTCTAAAAACGATATTGTTTTATCTGAGCAATGCTTTGCACACTTTTTTAATAAGCCAATTTAAACAAAAGCAATAAAAAAGGACTAAACTATTAAACAAACTGAAAAAAAAACTATATAAAAAATACAAATTAGAACATGGATATAAAAATATTTAAGGTTAATTCTAGGGATTATGTTAATTTAATTTAAAAAAAAAAAACAAAAGTATCAACATCATTCCATGCATTATCAAATTACTATATATATCAAAATAAAAACATTTCAAAAATTAAACAAAAATATTAAATTTTTTATATTTATTAGGTTGAAAACATTTTAGTTGAGTTAATATTTCACTTCAATGTAACAAATATAATTTTGATATAACTACAAATAAAACCAGGGGGCCTATGATCTAAGTCCATGCATGTGAATACAAATTGTGATGCAGGATTTTTAACCTCATGAGATATTATTAACCGTTCCAATAGCCAAAAATCCATTTTGATGAACTGGGACTTTCCATGAATTTTTAGTATTTATCGCTGAAAATCATAACTTTCCATGACCAATTTCAATCAAGGTCAAAATCCCTAATTTTGAAGGAGCACGGATACTCTGTATATACATGTTCATTCAAAACATTTCAATGCAAATATTTAATAAATATTTTTATAAGAATCAGATTTTAGTGCTTCTATATTTAAACAATCTTACTTCCTTGTGCTTGACATTTTTCAATATATAATAGTAAAAATTAAAGAGTATTAAAACTTAATTGTTTCAACATGTTTTATCACTGAAAAATATAATCAAATTACATTCTCGATGTTACCATCTAAGAAAAAGAGTATGTATGTAAATAACACAATTTCTTAAGCTTTTCTCTTTTGACGGTTAATGCTAAGAAATTTCCCGTGACCAACTATTGCACATATTATGTATATCCCGAGATAATTCATACCGACCCTCTTGGTAACCGCTACATACTTTCTTTAAATTTTTGGAGGAAAAAACTGGCGTCTTGAGAAAAATAGTGCTGATATGAAGATAATAACCAACGTTCTTCATGTGATACTCTGAGCATCCCTGCCTTTGCAAATAAAAATTTTTGCAAACAACATCGATACATTCTCTAAGATTTCTTATATAGTTTTTCTCTATTAAAGTTAATAAAATTTTTAAATAAATTCTAGCATGATTTTCACGCATGCGAAAACAAACAAATTTTATAATTTTGTTCCTCGTGCAGAAATTTCTTTCACCTAATTGCACATTTAAAAATACTTTTATAATTTTCAGTTACATCTACTGAAAATAAAATTTTTATAAACTTTTTTATAAATTAAAAAAAAACATCAATGTAGAAAATTGTAAAACATATTTCCGTAATAAAATCGTCAAATTTATGAAGCAAAAAAGATTTTTAAAACATGGAAGGAAAAAAAAATGGGAACATGTCTACGGGTGCATAGCCAGATTTTTCAACAAGAAATAAGCTCCTTTCAAGTACTCAAAAGATATTGTTAATAACTTTTCAAAAGGAAATCATAATTAGGATCTGTGCCGTAATAAAAATTATTTTTTATATCGTTTAAAGTTCTTAATTTATAAACCAAAATTCAAAAACATTTTCATAAACTTTACATAATCATAAAATAACTAGTTTCTGATAAATATTGCAGAGAAAATTGTGGAAATCACACATTTTTTGTAATTTAGAACGACAATCGATACGGCAAAGAAAAAATCTCTTTTTTCAAGATAAAAAATTAAGCACTTTTTACAAACCCTGAATAAAAAAAGCACCTTTAATGGCTTTTAAAAAACGTATATAAAAAATAAGCACCCATAAGCCCTTTTTAAAAACGCCATGCACCCTGTTCTATACAGGTACCTGCACCAAAATAATTGCCAAGTTTTGGGAACTTCCAGGCCATGGCCCATGAGAAGCAAGAAACATTACAGAAGTAGACCAACTCAAAGGGCATAACCATGCCTGGGCAAATCTTTAGAAATTATTTTTTGGTTTATTTATTTACTTTTTTTTGTTTAATTTCTGTATGTTTATAATCCCTTTGGCACCATGGCGAATGTAATTGGCAAGAATCAATACCAAAATATGCCGAAAAAGTTTTCTCTGAAAAGAAAAAAAAGAGAAAGATATCAAACAATGTGAAAATACTTTATTAACAACTTAATAAGGACTATACGTTAAATCAAGCAGATATATTACAATCATATTTTAAATTAAAATTTTACATATAAAAATCATAGATATTGCCTTTGCACATTTCTAATTGAAAAGTAGGTATACATCAAATTATGTATTATAAAGAGGAGATTAAATTTAAATGATTGAATTAAAACAATAAAAATATTATTTTAAAATCATGATATTTAACATCTAATCTAAATTTTAAAGATATCAACATTTCTACAGAATTCAAAAACATACTGGTGCTATAAGATTCAGGGATATACAGGATGTTACGTAATCCCCACCCTACATACGTGCTTTTGGAAACCTTATAAAAAACAAAATAAAAATGTACATATATTTATGAGGTCATCGAATGTCAAACCCTAATGTACAGGATCTTGGCAGTAAAACCAGGTAGCATAGCAGCGGATGCTGCAGATAAAACAGCATCTGTAAATTATGCTTCCTCTCAGAGATGAAAATCTCAAATTTTTTATTTATTTATTTAGAAACCTTGAAATCAAAATCTAAAAAATAATCAGTGGACATAAAGCTTTAAAAAAAATCTTCTTTAAAAATTTTACTTAATTTTCTTAAGTTAATGAAGAATAAAAATTTTATTAAGTAAGAAAAAGGAATTTTGTTTCCACTTATTTCTGAAAAGATTATAGGTCCTTATTATTATAGGGATTTCCATTTTCTATCTTGACTGCATTGGGATTGTAGACAAATTCAAATTTGTAAAGTTGGGGCTGTGGATTAACTCCGTAAATTCAGCTGCAATGTGAAGGTTATAGCCAAAAGACATTGGCAAACTTCACATGCTAATCTTTGAGACTTTAAAAAGTAAGTTTTGCATAAGAAATTACAATTGAAAATATGACTTGTCATTGCTGGCAGGTAGTATTCTTAGTTATATTGCATAATAGAAAGCGGGCTTTCATGGGAGTATTGCAGGCTTATGCATCAATTTAGCAGTGATGAATCGTGTTATGTTATGCATTACAATTATCGGCTCATGAATTTTGAACATCCATTGCAAACACTAGATTATTTCCATCACCTGTATTGTTAAATTTGTTTTGGTCAATTTGCACTGCTATACCTTTATAATATGACAGTCTCATTACTGTTGCATAACACAATTCGATTTTCGACTAAATTTCTTGCGTAAAAACCATTTTACTATGGTCTTCCACATAAAGATCCTGGACATATATATATAGGTTTCATTTTTAATAAGGATTCTAAAAATACATATTGAAGGTGGTGATTACAGGACACGCTGTATGGGCTCACATATAAATTTCCGAATGCCCAACATTGATAATTTGAACCACCAGCAGCTCAAATCGCAGTCTCATTGAGACTTTCCTATACCATGATCATTAATCAAAAATCAAACGACACATGGCAATTAAGCAATTTTATCAGAGAGCATCAAATACTGTATTCAATATTTTCTACAAGATAATATGAAATAACTGTCTCATTGAGACAAGAATATAAAACTGAAATTCCTTTTGGAAACTTCACATTGATAAAAGAAAGCCTCACAAAAGACTCATAAATTTTAATCCTTACCAGAATCACTCATTTCTTACATAAAAACAAAAACATAAAAATTTGAAGGAAAAAAAATTTTTTTTTTTTTGTAATAACTGAAAACAGTTTTTAGTCTTTGAATGTTGTTCTTAAGTCTAATGGAAGATTTTCTGAATTCTTAACAGGAATATTTTCCAAAGTTTGAGAGGGCCAGGGTCCTATGGAAGTAGGTACAGTTCCTCCTGTCTTTAGATCGTATCTTTTACTATAAGGATGTTCTAAATAATGTGCTCCTTCGTTTAATGATCTTTCTTTTTCTTCTATGGTTTTTTCAATCTCCCACAATTCTTCCTTCAAGCTATCAGTATGTTCTTGATATTGCAAAACTTCCTCAACAGGCAAACTTCCCAAGTTTTTATCAGTGGATTCTTCATCGATTCTAAAATACTTCGCTGCTCCATCTGCTGTTTTAATGCAGATTAAATCATTTTCATTTAGAGGACATACTGTACCGTCTATACAATTAATAGCGGCAGTTTGCATATATTGGTCTGATATTAAAGCTATGGGTGCACCATAAGTAACAGATGAAGCAGTATTGAGAGTAGGAGCTAAAGAAGCAGATGGCAAAGGATGACGAACTACTGAGGTAGGACTGGTAAGTTCTCCCATATGCGATACAGCATTAACTTGTATCGGAGCCGGACCCCGAATTAAGCTTTTGGAACATTTAGAAATAGGCCCGTATTTTGACACTAAAGGGGGGTCAAATGGAATAAACTCGTCCTTTTCTGAAGGCCAGAATAACGTACAGTTGGTAAAGTTCAGCTCAGACAACCCATTGGTTCTTTCTTTTACAGTGGAACCTTCAAACTGGCTTTGTGATGAAGCCACTATAGTATAGTCACTATTATTACATACAGTATTTGATCCACAAGAAAAAATGCTTGTAGACGTCCAAGGAGAATAAAAGGACACAACATTGCCATCATCCATGGTTTTCACAAAACAATATGATCCTTCAATAGTTGGTGAAGGAATAATTCCATTTTCTTGAGGTTTAACTGACAATTCTTTTCCAATATTCGCCTTATCAAGCTGAGCTAAGAGTTGTTCTTTCCTTTCCTGAAGTGCGGCTAACGACTGTTCATCTAGCCGTTGACTCTTTATAAAAGGCTTATAAGGGAAAGAGTGTCTAAAATCCTTACTTTGAGAATTCATAGGGTGTCCGATCGGATATGATAAAGCAAATGCTGTATTTTGTGAAGGAAGGCTAGAACTGTTAATAACAGGAGGCAAACATTTATTGCTTAATTTGAATTTGGTACCTGGTAATCCAGAGACGGAATTTGAAACGACACTGAGTGCTGGTGACGACAAGGGAGAGACGTTCTCCGGTGGCAACATGTTATTTCTAGGTAATGCAGGATATGGTGATTGTAAAGAAATAACTTGAGGTGACTTTGAAGATAATGGTTGAAAGGCAGGAGAGTCTGGATTTAAAATATGATTAGATTGTAGCATATTAGAGTTAGATATTATGCTGTCATTCATGTCGGAGTTACAAAACTGAATACTTGAACTAGAATCTGCAGAATCTTCTATTGTGCAGTTGTCTAAATTAAAGGAAGAATCAAACACGTAGTTAGAGATACCACACTCTGAAGCAGCATCAGAAAGTGATGATGACGGATTGCAAGTAGATGCCTCTTGCAAATGTGGGCTGTCAGGATTAGGGCTTCTGATACTTGGAACAGAACTTCTTCCACCAGAATTTCTTTTACTTTTGGCTCGATATTTTTCTAATTCTTCTTGTGAATGAGCAAAAGTACAATTAAGGCCACGGGGGCAATTGTTGCGTTGAGTTAAATAACGGCATATGCTAGTTTTGTATTTGGCATTTAGGTTCAATCTATCCTCCTGCAACTTGCGATTACCAAAATTTTGTACAAAATCAACGAGACCTTTAACGACCATTTTAGCAGCTTCTTGAGCCATCTTTAACTCCTCCCATTTTGGTGGTGGAGCATCTGGACTAGGGTCAATATTAGCCAATAATTCCAAATAAGGCCTTAAAACCGACAGATTTCCAGGGTCTCCAGTTCTTTGCAAAGCAATAATCAATTCCTGAACACTTTGAGAAAAAGATTGGGGTGTTTGCAATTTATCTATAATAGACTGCATATGGGATTTGCGAGCAGTCTCACCATATAAAAGTGAAGACCACTGCTCAGGTGCAATGCGTAAACCAGCTTCAGTAGCTATTTGAACTATTTGAGCATCATGCTCTCTCCTAAGAGCTTCATAAGTGCGAAACTCTTCCTTCAGTTGCATCAACGATGAATCTCCTTCCCGTTTTGACACTTTAAAACAAGAGGCACGGTATAATAACTGCACAACATGCCCAATACTTGTTTTTGAAGCTTGTGGAAAATGAGGTGCAAGTCTTTGTACAACAAACATAACTAAAACTTTCCTAGAAAGTGAGGATCCGTCTTCTAAAGCTAATAAAACTAACTTCAGTACTTCTTCTTGCATAGCGGGACCTAGAAATTGACAGCCCCTTGCCCTAACAGCTGCCCATAAATTGGCAGATAATTGCTGAGGGTTTTGATGTTGAAGAATTAATTCAGTTACTGAACGCTCTCCGATTGATCTCGTAGCTCGCATTGCCCTTGTACGACCTTCTTCTTCCACAAGTTGGCAATTAATAAGGGTAACTAACTTTCTTTGCATCGGTCTGCTTAAAGGACCACTTTGGGGTACCCCATTTACAATACTTGGAGGCGATGATTTTAGATAGAGAGCTAAATCTTCTATGCAATTTTTTGCCTCCAAGTAATATTTATAGTCTTCAATAGCCACCAATGATCCAACAAGAGGTGGTTTTTCAGGTATTCTACCACCAACAAGTTGTAAAAGAGCATAATTCTCTGGTAATTGGTTAATATCAGCAGATATAACTGTCTGATCAAATGGACACTGTTTCCTTTGGAGTTTTGATAAGCAACTTTTGCACATAGTATGGCCACAGCCCAAGCTAATTGGGCGACGAACACTGCATTCAAACTCATTGTAACAAATTGGACAGGATAAGAAATCCGTCCACTGTGGTGCTTGTACAGGCATAGCAAATATTTAAAACCAACCACCATCACTAAAAGTTTTAACTTTGTGAAGTCTCATAATGTTGTAGAATCATATAGGAGTAAAAACACTTTTTTAAATGGATGTTTACACAGCATTCCGATAGATAATTTGGGATTAATGCAGTTATTGATCAAAAGTTGAGTCATTGTGACAATACCAAATAGCATATTATCAATAAGTTTAAAACTCTTCATCAAAATACTATCAAATAAAATGATGATGGTGATGATAGAAATGTTTAAACAACAGTTTCTCAACGCCTAAATCACATATTTTTTTATGTCTTGCATAAAATATTATTTCCATTAGCATACTACTATCTACCAATACGAAAATAAACACCAAGCAATCCGTAAATACTGTTCAAGCACCATACTGTTGACTTATCTATCATTTAGCAAACGATAATAAGTGAGATTTAAGATAAGATTTATTTATGTCACAACACTGAACTTTTTAGCGATTAGTATGCAATATAAAGTAAAATATTATCCTTGTCCAATTCATAATTTGTAAAAATAGTCAATTTGAGATTTGTTTACATCTCTAAAAATATAGGCTTGCATTGATCTGGTATTGATTCCTCTCCCTTAATTGATGAATTGATGTAGAAACTATTCTTCAGAAACGAGTAGAAAATGATAACAATACAATTGCGCAAGAAATGATTAAACACTTTGAAAAGAATGATTATTCTTTTGCAATTTTTGAACTTAATTTAGTTTATCATTGCAAAAATCGCATTTTTATTAGTTTTTGTTTATATATTGATACGATTTAACTGTGACTGCAAATCTTAAAAGCGAAAACCGAAAGTAAATGAGAAAATACAGACTATTTAGCAGAACTTAGATTAAATTAAACAAATTAAATGCTAAACAAAGATTTTTTAATATTAGGAAGCACAATTTTTTATCAATTAAGTTACGAATCTTTTTCTAATCCTCCTATTTACTGTAAGAACCGTAATCTTCATTAGAACGTATTACGTATACAAACTTTAACTTCAAAATATTTTTTTCTTGGAGGGAGAGAGATTGTATTTAGCTGTTATCGTTAATTTAATTATCTAGATGTTTCCATAAATCTTTCACTCTACAAAAATGCTTACGTTGTTAATTCAATGTTATGGTGCAAAAGCTATTACATTTTATTTTAAAATTGCTGTTGTCAATCATTTTTAGCTGTATAATTTCCTTTATTCTAAAAAGTATATATATATATATATATATATAAAAAATGTAAAAATATATATATGTAAAAAATGTGCATTTTTCACTATAAAGGATAAGGGAAACTTATTTACGATGAAAATGTTTCATTTAAATTTCTGATGCTTTTTAATATTACGTATATTAATATTTATGTAATATTTTAATTATGTTTTATGCTTATCTCTTTAAAGCAGCGTTTCTTAACCTTTTTGATACAATTGACCCCTTTTAAAATTTTTTAAGAAGTTACGGACCACCCCCTGAGAAAAAAAAATTGCAAAAAACATCAATTTTTAGTATTTTATTTATTTTAGCATTTAATTTTATTATTTCAATAGTATACAAAATATTTAAAATTAAAATATTTAGTCTGAAGGTTGCTGCTGCTTTTCCTTAAATAATAAATTGAATAGAGGGATGGTTTTCGACAAAGCAACGAGCATAACATGTTCAACATTCAATCGATAACGATGTTTTGTTTTTATTGTCACAACTGTGGAAAGTCCGGCTTCGTTAAGATACACTGTAGCTAACGGAATTATAGCTGAAATAGCTCGCTTTACAAGCAATGGGTAGGCTTCTTTCACAGAAGACCAGAACTCTCCGAGTGTTTTTGAATCGAAATCCATTTTTAGCAAGGACTTTGTTCTAAGATCAATAAGCTCATCTTTGGCAAGGTTCATATCATCGATACAGTCAATATCACAAAGAAAAGGATGACGAATCCACAACTCATCTTTTATCTTTATCTCATCCAAATTAAAATATTTTTTCAATG